TTCAGGCAAAACTTCACACCTCACATCAGAAAACTACTCAAGGTGCCAGAGAGCACAGCTACCAGTCAGAAGAAATTCTTAAATCATAAAATTTTGATATATATTCAACTCAAACACCAACTGGTTCTCATAAGAAACAGATTCTAACCCGTTTTAGTCGATTAATGCCAATATGGGAGCAGGGATAAATACATAAAATAGCGGTAGGCTCGAGATGTTTATTAAGCTTTGTGGCAACTCATGTCAAAAAGGGAACAACTTCATTTATAAATTGTAAGAGACAGCCAAAAATGAAGATTCTTTAGAATATGAGACAGCCTATGCTTCAGGGAACTAACAGCAACACCTAGTTGATCACATAGTATGCAAAGATCAATAGAAAATGACATGATCAGCTGAATACCTCAGTCAATCCAGAAACAGACTGTAAAATATAAAACCAAATTAGTCGAACTTAATTAAATGACAAACCTGTGGTGACTTTTCAGCAGCCGATTTCAGGTCAGCCACGGCTCCTTCCCAGTCTTCAACCAAAAGTTTAGCTTCACCCCTCTAAAAGATTTCAACAAAGTTAAGAGTAAAAGAAGAAAAATTAGACATTGCCTCAAGCAATAGGTTTCTGATAAACCTCACTAATAGTAAGAAAAGAAAACTACAATAACATAAGAATACATACCTGGACTAGAGCTTCAACTAAATCTCCATCGATTTCAAGTACATCTGTACAACTTGTCAAGGCATCCTTTCCTCTACCAAGTTTCACCAAAACCTTACACAACCCAAGATGGAGATGTACATTGTGTGCAGTATGGTTAGGATCCAACAAAAGAGCTGATTTGTATTCCTCTACCGCCAGGCGAAGCTTACCCTTGCTTGCATTGTCTTCCGCCTGCAAGAGATATAAATTTTATCTAGTTGCACATAGGATGAAGGTAATGGCACAAGAAATGAATAAATGGCACTTACGCTTTTAGTCTTTTTGAGGAGGTTTTTCAGTCCGAAATAGGCTTTTTTTAATTCACTATGCTCGGGGTCTAGACGAAGACCCTTCTGGTAATGTCTGAAAAAATCAATTGCAAAAAGAGTAAACTCCAAAGTCTAACCTGATGTAATCCTATTGATTTAATCATTTGATTGGGGTTGTAACCAAGACCACACGTACCTAATGGAAACATCATGATCGGCCAAATAATAGTAGGCACGACCACGTAACAGCAAAGCATCTAAATCATCCTCATTTTCTTTAAGCATGTAACCTGACTCTGATATGGCTCTTGAATAATCTTTAGTTGCAATTAATAATCTCACTCTAAGAATTTTGGCCTGCAGGAAAGCACCACAGTCACAATTAAAGAAAAATGGCACGTAAATCACAGTGAGCAAAATAAAAAATTATTAAAGATTTGAAGGAGAACCTGCGAGCAAGCTGGAGAAAACACGAGCACGACTTTTTCTATATGTTCCAATGCTTTTGCATAGTCTCCTGAATCAAAAAGATTGATGGCTGACTCTAAGGCATTCTGGGCTTGACGCAACTGAGAAAGCTCCTTCTCTGCAGCTTTATTCCCAGGTTTCATCTCCAGGAACTTCTTGTAGCTTTCCTCTGATTTCTCATATCTACATCATCCAATAACTCCCAGAATCAAGAGATCTATATAAACCAGATATTCAAAGTGAAATAAACAGAAAAGACCATGGTTCTCAAAAACGGACAGGACCATCCTTTTTGACCGGAGCCGGGGTTAACACAAGTCCAGTTCAACTAATATAACAGCCCAGCCAGAAAACCAGTCAAGAACCATTCAAACCAGTATCGTTTTGGGCGGTTGAACCGGGATTTCTTTTCCTTTCTTCCTCTGTTGTTTTGATGAATTGAATTTAACTTGGTGACTTTTTATTGGCTTACATTTCACATTGAACTATTATTGTAATTCTGTTTTGAATTCGAAACACTATTGTTTGTGGTGAATGAGTCTTGGACTCTTGGACTCTTATCTAGAGACATTAGGCACTGTATAATCTATTAGCCCGGTTCTCTGAGCTTTGGTAAGGACTTCCAGAACATGTATAGCAATCAAAACTTCAAGTACATGTGGGAGGCTCCAACATCAGTTGACTGACTAAATTCCGAATTGATGAGACAGTACATGTATAGTTTTGACTTCTCACAATATCCTCAACTTTATTTGTTGAGTAACTATAAATTATATTATTTTCTGCTCAGAAGTTGCAAACACATACACAGGAAAACCATGACATTTAGGCCAAAAAGCTGTAAAGTGAAACCTGCACTGTTGACGAAGGACGGATGCTCTATGCCAGTATGCCTCCGAGAATGCGGGATCTGCCTCTATGGCCGCATTAAGTTCAGCTAGTGCCTCACTATATTTCTTCACTTTTATACTCTGTGAAACTCTCTCAAATAGAGCAGCAGCACCACCAGGTTTTCCATCTACATTTCCAATAAAAGAAAAAGCAAGATTACGTATACAACACCACAGCAAAATATATAAAACATGGCAGACACGAAACGAGGCTCGAAATCATGCCAGACTCGAACCAAGCTTAATAGAATAAATCTAATAAATTACGAAAGATAAATAGGAAAAACAAATGAGCCTGTTTAATTATTTCTTGCAGCTACTTGAATATAGAAAGGGACGGATATACATTAAACACATAAATTACAATTTAATCCTAATCTCAAACATTCCCATTACAGCCCATCATTTGTAAAACACAATCTAAACATCAGGGACATCGACAATAGAAATTATAATTCAAAGGAGGAAAAAAAATCGGTTCTTTTACGAGAATGTTAAACAACCAAATCAAACTCAGCTAAAACAGGTCAAAACGGCTGGTTTATCCAATCAACACACGTACAAACTGGGGAAAACAAAAGAAAGAACAAATTTAAGATATATACCTATAGCAGCCACGAGCGGCTGGAGGAGGATCAGCTGACAGCAGAACACGAAATTCAGAATAAATATTGCGTACACAAAACCTCGCCAAGCCACCAAATCGAAGCCGCCGAGCTTCAACTCCATCTCAAGAACCCCAGAATTGCTCGTCCCTAAAATCGCAAGGCGAAATTTTACAGGTGATTGTAAATCTTAGTACAATTTACAGTGTGATTTTGCGAGCTGAGGATTTAAAATTTAGCGAAAACTGAAAGTCTTTAATGGATTATAAAATTCGTCCAAGCAAGAAAGATTCGGTGTCATGCCACGTTATACTGACGAATAAAGTGCCTCCACGTGTCACGTTTTGCTATGGTATAGTAGTGGTCATGGCCAATGGGGACCAGCCACGTAGGTACGTAGTTTACCTATTTCTTTTTGTGGTGTAGTTAGGAATTTTGTTAAATCAGAAACCGAATGGAAATTGAATTGAAATAACCGGTTCAGTTATAAAGAATCCAGACTGAATTGAAATAACCGGTTCAATAGGGGTTATAACCACTGTTCTAAAAATCGGCCTAGGCGGCGCCTAGGCGCTAGGCGGTGCCCGGGCGCCTCCGATTTGTACAAATCGGCAGAAAAAATCGGCCAGGCGGCTAGGCGGCGCCTAGGTGGGCCTAGGCGGCTCTAGGCGCTCCTAGGCGGCCTTGGCGGGCTCGGCGGCCAGGCGGTTAGGCGGCGTCTAGGCGGGCGTAGGCGGACTTAGGCGCTCCTAGGCGGGCTCGGCGGCAATTTTTCAATTTTTTTTTAATTTTTTTTTTATTTTTTTAAATACTAATTATATTATTTTGTCCTCATATTTTCTTTAATATATATTAATATTATTATTTGGACTTTGGTGTGTGAATTTATTATATGTTGAGATAAACTTATTTTGTAGGTAGTTAAAATAAATAAAAAATAAGGTATTTATTATTGATTTCTGGGCCTCGACTAGGCGCCGCCTAGGCCCCGACTAGGCGCTCTAGGCGCTGGGCACTGGTCGAGCGCCTAGCGGGCGCCTAGCGACTTTTAGAACACTGGTTATAACTGTTCAGCACTACGAGACCAAACAGTAACACCATCAGAAACTGAATTGAAATCGAACAGAAATAACTGGTTCAGTCTGGTTACGGTAATTGAATCGAACGGTTTTGTTATGGACACCATCAGAAACTGAATTGAAATCGAACAGAAATAACTGGTTCAGTCTGGTTACGGTAATTGAATCGAACGGTTTTGTTATGGAGCCAACTGTTGGCTCCATAGTAAAACCGTTGAATCGAAATCGAATAGAAATAACCTAGAATACAAATTCTTTCACACAGAGAATACACGAAGAAGGTTGAGGCTCAAGATCCTCACAACACTCACATACCGATTATCACAAAAATTTCTCAAAGTAAGATGTGATTTGATTGATGGACACAAAATATCAACCACAAACGAGAAACACAAAAATCTACAAGAGCAACGTACAACAACAAATAAATTAGGGTCGAACGTCCAATTGGAGCTTCTTGAGCAACGAGCGGTCGAGATTAAATCACTTAGATAGGAACGGCTATGATCGGTTTTCGGTAGTCTGGACTACCAAAAACTAGACTCAAGCCAGAAAAAAAAAATGAGCCTAAAATATACCTCATTTAAACCACAAATATTAAAATCTAAACTTATGTCACATTACGTTTTATTTTCATATTGTCGTATTATTGCATTTATTAACATCTTAAAATACATCACGTAGTCATGGTCGATTGATAAATTTATTTTTCTAATTTCAATTTTATCTAACGTAAAATTATGAAAACATTATCATGAACAAGAAATTAAATCAATTGGATCACATATAGGTAAAGACATAATACATTCAACAAAATTCAAAGGCTCAAATTTGAGTCAATCAACAATTAAAGAGGCCAAATACCTAAAAAAAAAATTGAGAAAAATAAAATTAAATTTTGAATATTTTATGAATTTGAATTTTCACGTTCCAAATGCTCACTAGCTTCCTTGAAGGACAAAATTTCCTGCACTGAGGGACGCCAATTTGGCCTAGGCCTCGTCAACTTCACGTATATGGCTCGGGACCTTCTCTTGGTAGCCTGGGGCACTCGTCTTCCTCGACAAGCCGTCACATTGCCTGCAAGAAAGTCGAGCAAAAAAATAGTAAGTTTGAAAAGTAATTGGGCTTTTATGAAATTAGAGTAAATAGAAATGTACAAACTAGTGATGTCATAGTTGTACACGTGTCATTCATCCAACGGAATGAAACAAAATATGAAAATTATGTATACGGAACAGGAGATTTCGGTTCTCACTTTTGTAATTCCTCCATTTTCTTCCTGATTTTTTCGAGCTCAGCTTGGACATTAATGTTTCCTTGCTGCTTGAGGAAAATCGATAAGGCCTCGTTGACCACATCGACCTTACAGCCCAATGGTGCGTCATCTTTCTCGCTCAAAACCTAAATATCGAGTCGCACGATTTGAAATGTTTCACGAAATTCGATGGAAAGACTTTTACACTGAATAAAAAAAGAAAACCACAAAAATTGTTCACGGAATAAAACATCGACATACTTCAAGAGAAGATAATGTGGCTAGAGTTGTAATCTCCAATTCGTGACTCTTTATGACTTCACATGCATCATTTGTGCGGCAACGAACAAAAGCCGCTCGCCTGAAAAAATGTTTACTGTCCAAGTTAGCAAATAATATGTGATGTGTAGTATGTTCGGGTCTTTGTTCATATCGTGTTTTACTTTGTAATAAGTGCAAAAATAATAATTGAACCCTTTAATGTTTCGACATGGTCGGAAGATGAAAAAAAAATTCCACGTGTACCTTTCATGCCTCTCGTTTGGTGCCAACTGTGACCGGAGAGACCTCAGTGATTTCACCACCGACTCAATCATATCCATCTCTAACTCCACTTCATCGTTAGTCCAACTCTGCATAAAAATACCGTCGATCGAGCATTATAATTAAGATGGCAAAAAAGAAGAGAAACAAAAAAAAAAAAAAAA